TTCCTACGCACAGGTCATGTTATATTCAGATTAAGACTTTTAAGTACTATTGTAGATTTTTTCCGAATGTTTTGTAAACCATTTTTTGCATAATTATACTTATCATATGCACTGTCCATAATTAAAAAGAGGGGAAAGATATTTAATATAAAAAAATGCTTTCACTGATGCCTACCTGGTAAGGAAAGTAATTCCATTGAATACAAACAAGACTTACAAGACTTGTTAATGTTATGTGACATGACTGTACTATATTCTGTTTGTGTCACTACTGTAGTCAGTAACATAAGATGATAAAAATATCAAAGTCTGTTTTTTATTATTATTATAATTGTAACAAATATACAAATAGTAACAAAAGAGACTCATATTATAATATACTAATATAACATGCATTTTTTTTATGTCAAATTAAAAAAAAATGGTTTCTTTCAATACTGAAAGTAGAACACACTCTGGAATGAAAAAAAAATTGGATGAATTTTAAAAAGACCAAATTCAGGAATTTTTGTTTGTTATACACGCGTTACATGGTGATACAGTATTTATTAATATAATAGAATACTGTTACAGGTATGAGGAAATTCACTAACATCATGTTCGTGCGAGTCAAAGATATAGAAGCTATTTGACATTGGTGATATATATATAAAAAATCTTTTGTTAATTGATTTATTTAGAGATCAATATACTTTATTGTTGAGTTGCTTTAAAACCATTCATAAAAAAAACATTACATTTCATGTTCAAAATGCAGATCAAATCAATGATGCTATCTATCTATAGCCTATGCTTAATGAGGGTCCATCCGCTCGTAAGGCCACAAAATACAGGTTTCGCTGTGGCATACCCTTCGCAGGATGAGCTATTTTTTACGGACGCGCACAGTCACGGACAGGTCGCGTCACGACAAAATGCCTCTAACGAAATTAAATACTTTATCGATTTCGAAAGAAAATACTAAAAGCTCACCAAAATAGTGTTGGAGAACCCATAAGTTTATGATGCACCAATGACAGATTAAAACAACAACATCTGGTCTTCGGTTGCTAAAGAGATGTTATTCAAAAACCTAACTGGTATTCAATCTTTTTTCTTTTTCTTTTTACCTAATTCTTTGATGTTACAACTGGTTTTGGTATTTGAATGAAATTATATCATTTCTACAAATAATTATCCTCTGTTCGCTATACTATGTATATGTTAGTGTTCATCCGAGCTGTTCTACAGAAATTAGAAACTTCGACGGGAGCGATAGCGACAGGAGAATGTTTCTAATTTCTGTAGAACAGCTAAGGATGAATACTAACATACTTAGTGTCAAGCTTTATTTGGCCTCATTATTATTTACTTTATTACGTCACTATGCGGTTTTATAATAGAAGTAGACTATGAACGACATTCGATATAGTATCGGTTATTGTTCTTTTACGAAATTTAACGCACAGAATTTTGAAGAAATACAGCATTGGATGACAATTAAAGCTGGACACTAAAAGAAAATAACGTACATATGGAATGATACTCACGGACATGCACCACGGATCACCGGCGCGAGTCTCGTGGTGCCATTGGAATAGCGGTCTAATGAGTTATGTTTGAAGCACAAAGTGGTGTGCTGTATCACTGTAGCTTTTTTTTTTTATGCGTTTATTTAAGGTCGCCGCCGGAAAGCCCATATGGGCGACCGTACACTCAAGTCGGGTCATCTAGAGCGTCCCGCCGAGATTTTTCGTCGATTTTTTTCCAGCTTTATTGGTGGAGGAAGACCCCAGGTGCCCCTCCGGGCATTATTTCAGGCACGAGCGGGCACCTGGGTAGAACCACCGACCTTCCGTAAGCCAGCTGGATGGCTTCCTCACATGAAAGATTGAATCACTGTAGCCGATGAAATGTAACTTTATATACTAAAATTTAATTATTTCAAAACAACCAATATATCAACATGTTATTATCAAACATTGAATTTCATAAATATAAATAAAGAATAATTATCAAAAGCAAAATTATTGTAGTTTTATTCATGAAATCTTCTTTATATTGACAAATTCAATCATTAATAGTATACTTGATATGCTGTGTGTAAATTAATTCAAAATGTAACAAATTTTAATTTCATGTACTACTGAAAAAGGGAAATAACAAATGTATAACCTAAGTGTCAAAAATCAGAACATTTAGAGCTATTTATAGCTTTCGAATTCATGTACAGCAGAACTGCTTACATGTTCTGATTCATTAATATGACATGTTGCGAATCACCGAAGGGGAAACCAATATAGAAATCGAAAGGAGTTCTTGAATGCGGATTTACTTTTAGCTGTAAATCGAAGGGATTAAATGATCAAATCCGGGCCCATGGACAAAAAAAATAGTAAACACAAATAGCTCCGCGCCTGTGGGCGCGGAGCAATGAAACATATGTTCATCAACAAAATGAAATAAGATTCAAGTTATAGATATAGATCACTATAATTGGTACAAGCTTCTCACATCTCAACAGCGACAGACTAAAATAAATACGACAAATTTCATTTATGACTGTTTAAATACTTTTTGTTTATATAAGTCAGATAGTTCATACACTAAATATTACTTATTGGGTGAGAAAAAATCACTCACATTGTATTACACTATGTATATTTACATAATGAAAATTGTGAGACTCAAAACTATATGGAACAAAAAGTCATAAATTTATATTTTGTTTGTTTGTCTGTTTTAACGGCGATTTTAACTATTTTGTATCAATATCTCGGCGGTCGGTCCATCGAATTGACATTAACACTGTAGATGAAATGATGATACATTTACTAAACAGTGTACCCAGTATGCTAAATATCCCTTGGCAATAATGAAACATTTATGTACAAAAATGCAAAAACAAGACGTATATCATCTATCAAAAATAAAAATTGCAGCTCTAATTATTGAATCTATAAACACTAACAGTACATACAACACATATTTCAAAACCACATTCAAAAAAGTTCTTTGCCATTCTCTTCAGAATATAAGAGACCAATTTATACATATCTTTTAAAACATATCACATTGACAATTTGTAAATAGTAAAGCTTTGGAACAGTTAAAGACATACATTCCTTAGATGGTTATAAACTGAACAAAATGAATATTGAATAATTTAATGTACTCGTATTATTTGCATAAGTACAACATTCGTCTTTTTAGAAAAAAATGACTAGTTTTGGTTCAAGTTCTTATCACTGAATAATCTGTTAACACAAAAAAAATCATTTTCTAAATCTGACATGCTTAAAATGTGTCAATCAACATAGACTGCTTTATGTTTAAGACAATCACATAGTCCCTAATTTTAACAAGTATATTATTTATAAAAAATGAAGTGCGTGCATTTGCATCAACATTATATATAACTATATATATAATATATATCTTAACAAGTATATTATTTATAAAAAATGAAGTGCGTGCATTTGCATCAACATTATATATAGATGAGAGAATATATACACACATACCACCACATCGATATGCCAGTCCAATTACGGCACAGCGCCTAGCAGAAAAGTCATGAAAGCATAGCCACTGCTCATCCACCATCACAAAAAAATGATGGTTTCAGAACAGCTTTATATACAGTCACAAACTGCACTACACATTGAAACAAGCTCAACATTCGCATATATAGAGTTTGTTATCTGTTATCATGTCTCACAAATCAACGATGACATTTTTATTGTCTTCTTCACTGATTGGGACCAGAGAACTATATATCATATATATATCTAAATATATTTGAAATTTTTAATATTAATAATAGTAATATTAAAATGTTAAGTCTATAAATTTAAGTGTCATAATTTAGTTCAATAGTACTCTGTAAACGATCCGTTTCTTTTTGTTATCACAAATCATCATCAGACAACAATAATAATATATTTCAGAATAATATTTACTTTTAACAATATCAAAATATATCAAAATGGTATAACTAAATGTACAATCTACTATTTACAATCTACCTTTTACCTACATTCAAAAACTGTAACTGAATGAAAATCTAAACTTTTATTATTTCAACAAATTTCAAATAAAAGATGGATATTATCAAAGAAGAAAACACAAATTGTATAACTTTGCATACTCCTTTTTGTTGCTAGGATATGTAAATGCTTGACGATATGACAAGCAACAGAATAATAATTTTGAACAGACTGGTTAAATCATAATAAGAATTATTCTCATTTAGTTTTGTCTAAATAAAAAAACACATACATTATTATCACATAAGACTTAAGTTATCGAGCTGTTAAAAGCTTTGTATTGTTCACAATGTTCAGAGCTAATGACTGCTTGTACAGTTTTAATGGTTTGCTTTTTGGCCTTACTTTCATGTTTAAAGCATATGGTTAGTAAACAATCACTTTTATTACTACTAATTTTAATGACATCATCATTCGGCACTACAGCTAAAAATAGACAATATGTATATATAAAATATAAGATAAGGGTAGTACATCTAAGGATGTAAAATATTTTAAACAAATATGCTAAATAGCTTGTAATAGTAATTGCAGTCTTTCTGGAACTAGGTTTTATTGCCCGATATATTTTTGTAAAAAGTTATAGTTCTCACAAATCATTCGCACATAGGCTAAATATTTGTCAATTGCCTAATTGCATAATCTGACTTAAGTTTATAATAGCAAAACTTCTTGTTTGCAAACATTAAGATAAAATAACAAAAAAATGCAAGCGTAATGCACTTGAAATGATAGAACGATTTCGATGAGTTCCCTATAATTTCTGTGCCCTTTTACATCTTAAATCCGGTCAAATTAATCTGGTAATCAAGTCTATGACCCTTCAGAGTCTCAATGATGTTTCTTTTTTGTTCCCTTGATGACTGCCGATTGGTGTAAAAATTTTCATTTCGTGACATGTTTCAACTTCAGAAAAAAATTAATATACAATGTATATTAATACATTTTCAAGTAGATTACCCAAATGTCCAGATCTAGTCAAATCACCAATCTCACCATTGCGATTTCTTTAAGATTCCATTCACTGTTTTTAATACTGCTGCAATGTCAATTTTATCATTAAACAAGAGGTAAAAATATTTCAGATTTCAGAGACACTTCATCAATTTTCAACTTTATAAAAACATAATATGATTAGTAAGTCTTAGCAGGGAAAGATGCATGTATATATGCTTCCCAAAACTAGAAAGTTTTCTCGATAAGTCATTCATGCAAGACTTAAAAAGACTTAAATTTATTTGATTGTGACTAATATAATTTCTGTTGCAGTGTAAACAAGATACCTGTTTCAGTTCATCTTACAGGTGGTAGATACCATCAATCACATTTTTGACTACATCTATGTCTACAGATTCATGCGGTAGCCTGTTTATTGCTGTAACCAATTCATTTAATGTAGCCGCCTCCATTTTGTCCTGATCCCACCTTCGTAACATTTCCAGTATCATCATAGCTGTTGTATCATTGTTCGACTTGATATGTTGAAGAGCAATACGATTTACTCCTAGATAATTCCCAAGCAATTCCCATTCTGAACCGATTGCTTGTGTCAGTTCAACTAGTTCTCTGTCAAATAATCTACGGTCTGGTATCTTTTTATCAATCATCCCATACGTAAACCATTCATGAACTATTTTGTCAATGTCAATATTCTCATGTACAATACTATCTGGACAGCACACTGTTTTTTCTTTACACTCTTTCAACATTTCAAGTCCATACGTTTTTTTACTTCCCTCATGTTTGTGCAAACTGTGTTGACATCTGAACGAAATTGTATATGGTATAACTTCTTGGCTGTCTTCAATATTCTGCAGCTTTTTGAATTCAACCCTGAAAACATTTTCTGCAAATCGTCGTAAAAAATCTGGCATTACAGCAGATATTTTACCACCTTTACACATGTGTAGGATGAGCAGCTCTATGGTGTTTCTAAGACGAACAAATTTCCCAGCATAGCTCAAATTTATCCTAAACACGCTTGCATTTTCAAATAGAAATCTACAACTCTGAAATTCTACAACCGGCCATGTTCCAACTGCTGCTCCTGTAAGTCTTTGATAAACTGTGGAAACAACTGCTTCGTTGTCAAAAGTGTACACAAGGGAGACTGAAGTATGACTTCGGTTTTCAAGAAATTGTTTTATTTCACCATTGTCGGGTTCTTTCAGGAAGCTTGGTACTATGTAGTAATCTAGAGAAATATTTTTTCCAGATTCTTCATCAAACCTTAACGCTGCAGATATGATCCCATGCTTCTTCAAAAATGCAACAAGGGCATCTTTGTACTTTATGAATTGGCTGCTCTTGTCATTTTTCCAAACTTCAAACAAAAGCTCTTGTTTTAATATAGCACGTGACTCCAATTCATTCCATAAAGATCTCAAAGATTTATCTTTCCTGCAAAATTTTCTGGATGTGATGATGCATTTGAAGGCATTCACAAGAAAACTTGGATTAACAACGACGTAATCTGCTAGTACACCCTCGTCAAAGTAAATAAATGTTCCATTTGCATGATGGAATTTCAGAAATGACTTCAGTTCTTTGGAGGGAATTGGGTGTTCTAAATCTTTATCGTTCATTTGGACTATATCTTGATACTTCACAATGCTCTCTTCTTGTCTTTTCCTAAGCTCAAATTCTAAAGGAATCCAACGGGCTGGTAACAATGGCCTATCTTTCATTCCTATTTCTAAAATGGTCTTTTTGAGACGAACAACCTCTTGATCATTCTTATCAGTTCCTGAAATAGCAAAAGTTTCATGATGAATATGAGATCCCATTTTGCGTCCATCAAAAAGTTTCCTGACATCTTCAAAGTATTTATCGGCTTTGTTTTTATCTCCAAGTTTGTCAAAGTGTGTTCCCACCAAAATAATGTTTGGCTTAGAACCATCTTTTGTTCCGACATACGAATGAACAGATGAAATCCAAAACTCAATGTAATTTTCCATTGACCTCATATGATTTGTCCCGCCAGGATAGTCTTCGTCTGTTACTGGTGTATGCAACTCTCTTGTTAGGTCAAACACAAGTAAGTAGATAGCATGCTTACTGTGAAATAACTGATGAGTAGCGTAGAATATGTATTGACCTCCAAAATCCCATAATGATAACTTGTATTGATCTGTGTCTTTTGATTTTTCTTTTTTTTTCATCTTCTTAAAGGCGTCAAAATATGTGTTTTTGTCTCTCATTTCAGTATTTTTTGATTCAACTGTCAAGTAATTTTGTGTACCTTTCCCTTCTTCATCAGTATTATCCATTTGGCGTGTGGATTTCTCGTTACGGGCAGTTTCTTTCTTACTTTCTGGAATTTGAATATTCGCCAGTCTTTGCATACTTTGATAAATTGTATCATCAGCATGAGGACTTTCTTTCCATTTATTTTCATGTACTGAGCACGAAACATTAAAGATGTCGATGCCGTTGGTACTTTCTATGTTTCCAATTCCTTTAGATAATAATCTTCTTGCCAAAGTAGTTTTTCCTTGACCGTAACATCCTATAATCATAACTCGGATTGTCTTATCTTCTTCTTCTCCTTCTTTAATAGCAATATCATATTGCATTCGTGTTCGCATGTCAAAGTTATCTAGAAATGAAACATTTAAATATGAAAAAGGGACTTATTTCATCTTGGCCGACACATTAATATATAAAAGAATTTCAGTGGTACAATAACGTGTAAAAACGGGTGGCGCCATTTAAATTTCATGAGTTTTTTTCATGATATTCTCTCTTCATCCTAACACAGCGAGATATATCAGAAAAATAGAACATTAGAAAATTATTGTTTACGAATTTTATTGTCTGTTTACACCAATATGTTGTTTTCCACTTTAAGGAACAAACCATTTACACCCACGACTTTTCAAGTCTACAGTTCACACAAATTTACCGATCGGGATGTCAATTTTCTAAAACATGATTAAAACCACGAAGGTAAAATACTGTCGAAATATTTTCTAACTTATTCCACTTTTTACATTATCAGTAATATTTTTACATAGCATGAACATGATAGAAAATATCCTGAATGGCTGGCTGAGCGCCGATGTGTTTAAATTAAACATTTTCATATTTGAATGCTGAGTTTTCTTGAAACTCTTTCTTGGGACATGAACAATTACTTGCACACTGCTGCCGTCCATGAAAAGGTTCGATTGAACAAAGCATACAATTTGAGCAGCATTTCAGGTTTTAATGTTGATAAATGTCATTATGTGCACCATGAGCAATACGAAACTGCAATTATTTTATCGCCTGCAAGAAAGTGTTAAGTATACGTACCATCTTTTGGTCTTTTCCTTATCTTGAATCTCTCTAGAAAATTAAATTTCATTCATGTAAATACTCCTATCATAAATGCATGTTATTTTCAAAAAAAGGCTATGATGGCACATGATTGCTAACCTGAGACATATTGCAAGGAAAGGTCATATTTCACTTTCATATTTTTACCAAAGCAAAATATGTTTTAAAATATTTGTAGATATCTAAATTCTTGGCATTGTAATTTTACACACGAATTCTTAATGCAATGTGTTTTATTGGGTATGTTTATATAAAGCAAGTGCCCCAGGGCAAGAACCAATGCCATGATTTACCGCAATGACATGATTTACATCACTTTAGTAAGGGACCATAGGGTGATTCTACATGCAAACTATCTAGCTCTTGGTATGGTACTTTCTGGGAAAATTTTTAGAACATTTTCACTATACAACATGATAAAGAAGATCAACAAGGAAAGCCGGTGTTCAATGAACGCACCTCCACACAACCCAGCAACAAGGACAAGCGGCAAGGAGCCCAGGAGGACCCCGAACAAAAACAGGACAGGGCACAAGGCATTGTTAAGTAAGTGATTCCAGGTCAGCCAGACAATGCTACATGTCTAATATCTACGCTCTAAGTACTGTAGTTCCACAAATACGACTTAAATCTATTGTTAAATACAAGTTTATTTATTAACCTAAGGAACCACGGGCTGGGGCAGTTTTGACCCCAGGGGCATACTCTAACTTGTAGAGGACCACAAGATGATGTTTCATTCAAACTATCTTAAATCTGGGTATTATATCTTTACAGAAGAAGATTTTTAAGATATTTTACCATATAAGTTTATGTAAACTAAATGAGCCGAATGTTGGGGCCATTTTTTACCCCATGGGCTTAACTAACTTGACTTTTGCAGATGTCCAGTATGTAATGCATTAGCCAAATATCTGAAATTTTGAATCTTTTGGGTGTACAAAATAAGTTACATGAAAGGTTACTTCAACATTAATCACCATAAGTGAAATGTCTGTTTTGAAAAAGCTGCCAAGAAATCAAACGGAATAGAACTACCTTGCATTAGCAAAAATGTTAACACTTCATGTATGCTTATTTTGTATCAATGAGCACAATTCGAATATTCAAAGTTTTACATATATATTGTAGCTCTTATGATTCTGTTGTAATTGAATCAGGAAAAATAAAAATAATGTTTAAAACTATGACAAATGTATGAAAACCTATTCTTACCCAAAACTTTTGTCAATCTTCCTTCTCTAGTTTGATCTGAAAAGTTAAATTTGTTAAAATTTCTTAAAACTATCATCTCTATAAATACATTTAACATAATATGAAACTTTAGCTTATAGCATCTGTAAAATACGTGCTATGCGTTTATCATTATCGCACTGTCGCATTATCAGTATTAGTTTGTCATTACCCGGTGCAATTTGCAAAGAGGAATGTTTTTATGTTGGAAATGAGAAAAACATAAATATAAAACCTAATAATGCATTTAGATACTTTTTATTGTGAAGAATGTTTCTTACAAAACAATGAAATATCTGTGCGGTTAGGATGCTCACAATATTTGCTATACAGTTATATGTATAAAGATAAGTATTATCAGAAAAAAAATCTGGAAACAAATTGAACCTTCGGAAGCATTAATCACAACACAGTAACATGAACATTGCAGACTCGGTTTGATTACGTCTGTACATAAAGGATAATGAATAAGTGCAACATCCCTCACGCCCCTAGCTCCGACTTGAGCGGTACACAATTCTCAACACTTAATAGTGCTGGCATCAATGATCGTAGAATGTCTAGCTTAGCATTATCATCCATATATAATTTTGTCGTGGCAGTATCAACATAATTATTGATGGTAAAAAAGAACTTACATTATGGGCCAATTCACTTTAAAAAGAAAATTTAGTCGTACAAAAACAAAAAATTGTAAACTGATCTTGATATCTTTAGATAAAGAAAAGGTAGATGTTTCATATTATGAGCAATTATCTCACTACATTATTTCGGAAAACAGAAAAACACTTACGTATTATAATTAATAACAATGAAATGAACGCAATTAGTCATAACCTTATGAAATAGAAAATGACAATAATTATATATTGAATTATTATGCTCAGAAGTGATAAGAGAATTTATATAAAATAGAGAGAAATAAAGAATTTCCTAAAGAATGCACAAAATAGTCAATGCGTCATCACTAATTTCATAATCGATACATTAAACTATGTGGTCATTGTAAGAATTGGTCAAATATTACATATTTTGTCAAACAACTTTATTAACGAAGTTTTCAGCAAAAATAAGGCCTTTCAAGAATGCACCATCAATTTACTAATTTCTGCAAAAATGTCCCGGATCCCTATTTACATTACATGTCTTAATATCGTTATTTTCAAAATGTTATTGTTTGAAGAAAAACATAACATATATGTTAGAAAGGTTATAAATATACTATACAATTTTGTAATTTACAATCGAAACATAGTTTTTTTAGGAGAAACAAACACTATTTAACGTGCTTTTCGAGAATAAATCAATATTTAGATTATAACGTACTTTAACTCATATTTAAGTAATTTTATAGAAATTTCTAAAGATAGTTGTGTAGCATGTTTCCAGTCTTGTCTAATGACAGTCTTATCAATGAAAGTTCTGGAAACGTTCATATACATTAATACTTCAGCACTTTTTGTATAATTTATCTTTTATCAAAATGTTCATGTGTATGTATTTTGGACATAATAGTATCGAAATAAATTTATTCACTTATTTCGGTATATGTTTTATTTACACTTTTGGGTAATTGGTTCAACTATTTCGATTTTTTATTGTATTTTCCCCCATCAGATTAAAATTGCAATTTATTTTCAGATGGTTCAATATGAAGCTGTGTGTTATTTCCGCTTGATACTGAAGCGTGAATTGATTTAGATCCATTTAGTAGCTGTTTGATGAAGGAAAGAAGCGTTATTTGCTGTATGATCATCTGAGAGACTATGACAGCTTGTGTTATAACGCCGAGTAATGTCCCCGGATATGTCAGGTACAGCTAGGGACAAAGGCAACTACTCCGGGGAACAATTCATTAGAATTGACTTGCTGACCGCAATGATGTATTTACATTCATTCGGCAATTGCCTTGCCATGCACATATCGATCCAGCCAAGTGATGTCAATAGTAGCCAATACATTGTGGACAACACCTTGCTTTAGAAATTATTTTAAACCAATCTTGTTATAAATGGCACTAATTCCTGTAAAAAGGCTTCCCTTTTTGTTGGGGACCTTACGCCGTTTATTTATGGAAAGGCACGGAAGTGTCACATTGAATGTTCCATGATAACCGCCATATGAACACATCTGCAGATGTTTCTTAATCTACGAATCCACCATTTCCATGTTTAAATGTTGAATTCTGCTTAAGCCTGTGATTTTGCATTTACCAGTACCGTTCATGAACAGACTCAATCAAAAACGACCCTGCAATGTTTTCAATGTTGTCGTTTTGGGAGTTCTGTATGGATTCTATTTTCTCCATTTCCATATATTTGTAGTTAGGACGCGTAGTTCAAAATAAGACAAGCAAAACCAACAAGGAATGGCGGTGTTCAATGAACGTAACCTCCACACGATCAGCAACACAGGACAACCGGCATGGAGCCCAGCAGGACCCCAATCAAAAACAGGATATCACAAAGCAAAGCACGGACGGGGTGATTTCGTTTACTACAATTATAATCTTTTTCACCTTTTCCATAATTCCAGACATATTCAACTCCGGCTCAATATGATGATAATCTTACTGTGAGTTTTTGATATTATCTATTTTGTTCATAAAATAATCATCAGATTGTTCTGCTTATAACCTGACACTTTCAACATTCGAAATGTTTTTTTTTTTTAATTCGTTCCTGTAATTGCACTAACACACCTGTATATATTTGAGAATCCTATTTTGAAAATGACAATTGGTCCGCAGAGCTTTTGTGGTATTTCTTAATATATTAATTCAAGACTGTGTACATGCTTATGAAGAATCATTGTCATTTCATCTTACAACTTTTTAAACAAATGTATCAACATCGGTTTTGTAAATCTTTAGTTTTGCATTTTCATATGAAAACTCTGTATTGTTTTTAGTTTTTGACATGTTACAGTTTTCTTCACTGACGTCCTTCACTTCACAATGTACCGAAATGAATGGACCGGGTTCACATGATTAGATTTGAACGCCATTAAGTAATGCATTAATATAACTAGTTCTAGAAAGTCACTTCCAATATGTGTACTTAAGTCAAGGTGCTGTTCAAGCTCCATGAGAAAAAATGAGTCTTGAAATTCTGATGTCGCAGAGCCGTTTTGGTTTACATGCATTCAAATTGAAATAGCCCATACTACACATGTACTAATCAAATTTGTATGGTCTAGCATAAAATCTTCCACAATTCGAAAAAGTTGACATATAATAAGAATCGGTGGAAATAGATCTATGTATTCCTATCACTATTATTGAAATGTTCTTAAACATAACTTGCTAAATACCATGTTCATGCCTCTTTTTTCTACGTACATCAACCCTTTTTGAATAGGCTAGAACTATTCCACAACTTAATCTATGAGAGGTATATTCACGGGACATAGTCTGTAACCGTTTTAATTTCAGTCAGTTGTTTCAGTTTGGTATTATTTATCAGCTGAGAACCAAGTTTATGTCAAAATGGCAAATTCAACCTTTTCTTTTTCGCTAGATGTTCGCCAATAAAGGTGTATTTACAAATGGCACAGTGGCAATTCAAAGTTATACAATTTACCTTTTGTATTGTAATGATTTCGTTATCTTATTAATGCTTTTTGGCTCTCTGTCGCTAACATAGCGATTTTTCAGTTCATGCTTTGTATTTCAATGCTTTTCTTTGAATATGCTCCTTTTAACATTTTTGTATGTTGATACTACGTTATAAAATGGGGCGGGAAAAAAGGTCTGTGCTGACAAAATAGTGCAAATAGTGATACAAGCATGAAACTTTCAGGAAATCATCTTTAGACAATGCAGATTCCAAAAGTGAAGTGGGCCCAAAATATCTCTGCTCATTCAAGATGGCTGCCGTTTATTTTCAATATGGCCGCCATATTAATTTGACGAACATTAAGGCTCATTCAGTGAATTATTTTGTACAGACCTGAAACTTACACTAAAACATACATAAAGTTTAACTTACACTAAAACATACATAAAGTTTAACTTACACTAAAAACATACATAAAGTTTCACCTTTACTAAAATTCAAATATTTAAAGAAATCCTCTTTTATACCTCTTCCGAATTCAAGATGGCGTCCAATATGACCGCCGATTTTATGCAAAACTGATATATCTCTTTTGTAGGATAATTTGTAGCATAAAGTATGCATGTTTCGATTAAAAAGTGTTAAAACATATCAGAAATAATAAAATTATATGTAAACCACAATGTTAGTCACCATTTTTATTTTATTTTGTCCAAAAAATATCTTTAAACTATTAACATTTACATATTTCTCTAACATGGTTTTCTAAAAGGTCTATATACAAAACTAAAATGGTTACTAAGTATCTTATAGTGTATTTGATATTCAATCCAATCAACACTTAGTGTTTATTGTAAAAATGAAACAAAAACATAAGATCAGTCTAATCTATAGCTTTTATATTTTGTCAAAGTGGCGCGGTAAAATCCAATAATTGAAAAACAAAAGCAACACAATTTGTAAGTTGAGTTCATTTCTTTGTTATTTGTTAAACTTGTAAGGTATTTTTGTCTTCCTTCATGTCTAGAGGGTGTGCTAAAAATACCAGTAAATGCACTTGCATTCATGTGTTTACATTCAGTTATAAAATTTGTTTGATTGATATAACTTGTTCATATTATTAGTTAGTTGTAACGAAAATAGACTGAATATAAATCAACAAAACATGCGTTAAATGTTGTCTTATTTACGAATACAATTAATTCCAACACAATTTCTTTATGAAAATGTTACAGTGTGGAATTTATATAGATGAGTCTGACCTGAATTTAGTGGCCTCATCCCTTTCAATCATTTAAATTTCATGACCATTAAATCTAACAAACACTAACCTTTGTGTGAGAGGTCTAAATTAACAAGTTTCATTGGCTAACAAATAAATAACATCTCATTTTTTCACGTTGGCGGGATTTGTAAAAAATATTCACTTCGGTCAGGGAAATTGTAGAAGAAGGATGGTTTCA